AACGAGCAATTTTATGAGTTATTTTTACAATTCTTTATTGCAATTTTAAATCTGCGCTGGGTCCAACAAAAGAACGTTTGTAGATATCAAAATATTTAACAAGATAGAATAGATTTAAAAAAAAAAATTAAATTAAATTTCTTTCTTATTTCATGTAGGCATTATATATGTGAACTAATAGTAGTTCATTTTTAAATGCAGTATCTATCTTATCTATGTAAACAATGTGATTTTTAAAAGCAATACCTATGTAATCTTTGTGAAACTTTTATTTATCGAATAAAAATATCAAAGTAAAAAATTAGTAGCTAACATATTTACATAAACTTGATTAAATGCGATCTTGAGTTAGCCTTGGTGAACTTCAATGAAAAGTTCAAGAAGAATTACAAAATGAACTTTAAAAATTCTGTTTTGCACTCATGTGATATGAACAATTAGACAGATTTGCAGTTACGCAAGTTCTAAATCTTTTGAATTGAGAGGATTTTTTAGGCGTTACAAACTTATTTTGCAGCTCAAACAATTAAAAATTTATTTTTCTCATTACTTAAAAAAAACCTAATTTTATTATGGCTGTTATAGTTTAGAGAAATACTCAGGTAAACATGATTTTTTGCAAAGCATCATTGACAATGATCATCTTTAACATCAAAACAATCGAGGATAGTAAAGCTTACTATTTTTACCTTAGTTTTCAATTGATTTTCTTAGTATTATTTAAGTTTCACTTTATAATTGTAGTCGAGTGATTATACCGACGTGTTGCTGTTTAAAATTAACGCCGAGGCAGCTTATCTTTTTAAAAAACCTACTTTTGTAATTATTAAATTACTAGCTGTCATGACCCGTAAAATACGGGTCTTTAGGATATTGATGCACACTTTATCCGCGTGGTTACAGTTCATAAGAACTATTATCCGGTTTATAACGCAAGAAAATCTCAATCAAATGAAAACATCTAAATGAAAACTTTTAATATCCTAGATACGAAGATTAAACTTATTGATTGCGTAAACACTAACTTTAACATAAATGGCATTTGCGAGACACTTCTTGCAACGAAAAAACAAAATTTTGAAATTTGTGAACGATTTTTTTTCTCTCGTTAGCGAAGTTGGTTCTGTGTCAAAATGCGAGAATCAAACTTTTGATTAATATCTTTACATATGTTGTCTATATACAATATCTATAAAATTTTATAAGTATTTGAATTTGTATTTAAAAAAATCTGAAAAAAAAATTAAAATAGTAGTCGCCAACGGTAGGACTCGAACCGCGGTAACTATGTTCTAACGCCCAGCGCGCTAACCACTCGACTACGCTGACACTAATGATATGAAGCTTCAAAATTATATAAAAATTGTGTTTAACGGATATAAATGCAAAAGATCAGAAATCGGTTTTATGCTAATATTAAATAGTTTAACTTTAATTATTTTTGGAAACAATAAATTTTATATAATAATTTAGTGTACATATAAAATTAAAATCTTTAATTATGTTCTAAATAAAAATATACTTTTTAAGCCCCCTTACCATTTTTGAAAAAAGTTATGGTCGCCGCGTGGCAAGTTCATCAGCTTGGCACGCGGTTTTGTTGTTTAAAATGCAAATCAAAAGTTATATAGATTTTATATTCTATATATAAACATGTTTTTTACTAATTTTCCTTGCTCAATTTAGTTGTAAATAAACTTGAAAAGTTTAACTAAAATAACATGAGTATCTCAATAATGACTCATGCGCAAATAAAATAAAAAAGATGGTTGCCGATGGTGGGTCTTGAACCACGGCTGACTTGGTCAGAAGCCTAGCGCACTAACCACTATACTACGCTCTCACGTAGTGTATTAAAATTTCAAATTATATAAAAATTGTTTTTTAACGGATAGAAACACAAAAGATTAGAAATTAAGCAAAGCTTGACGAAATGCAGTTCTTAAGTGAAAATCAAACTGTTGAACTTGATATATGTTTAAGCATGTTTTAACATTACATAACATGAAGTTTATGTACGTACAATATGAGTTTCACGTTTGCTCGCGTTTTCTTATAAAGCAAAGGTAAGACTCTTTCTCGTCACTCCCTCGGATGCAATGGTTGCCAAGAGTATCGTGTCAAACAGGCTCGAAAGCGCACTACTACTACTAATATTAAGTCCAGTATTATTATAAAGAGATTCCATTTATCATTAAAAAAATAAAATTGAAGCGTATCTGAGGCATCGCCTTTAAACTTCTTCATGAGGATGTTTCTTATTCCAAGAAGCTATTTAGGTCTTTTTGTTATTTTATTACATTTTAAAAAATGTAATTCATTATGAAATACAGAAGTATAATAAAAATTTACATGATCAATTTTAAGATATAGAAAAATGTAAGACTCGTAAAACTGGAAGGTCTGTTGTTCAAAATCTGCTCTGGGTATTAATTCAATATTCGTAAGGAAAGAGGCGCGAACTTCCTGGGTTAATGCTTTCCGCGATGCTCTGTGATAAGATCTTTAGAACTTCTTAGAGCATTGATTGAGCAATAACGCAAAAACCAATAACGCAAAAAACGCAACGAAGAAAGAAAGCAAAAACCCTGAAAAGAACCCCTCAGGGTTTAAAAAAAAAAAAACCCTGACCCTAACCCTGAAAAGAACGCAAAATAAATAAAACTTGTTTAGAAAATAACAAATATTACAGAGGAAGTTGCACGAGAAGCAATGACTGATGCTTATTTAAGACAATAATGTCATAATGATGAGATTTAAGGTATTGGTGTATCATGTGATGGCACATGGCAGCGTAGATTTTCCTCATTAAATGGTGTCTTTTTTTGTCAACCTTGTCAAATTTGTCACCTTGAGAGTGCTAAAATTTAGTGTGTATAATACAGGTGCTAATTTTAACATTAGAATGAATTCATCAATCCTAATTTGTAAAAAACCCAACATAATTCTAGGTTTTTATACAATAAACGGTTTGACATTAACAAAATCAGCATTAAATGGTCGATTTATTTAGGAAAACTGCATAATAAATTGCATAGCCAAATATTGAGAGCAAAAAAATGAAGAAAATTGACAAAACATTAGAAAAAGAAGATAAAACATACAAAAAAGTAGTTTTTAATTTCAATTAGATTTTTATATGTAATATTTGGTATATGTAGATTTTTTAAATTAATTTTTTACTTTTTGCGTGTTTTCTCAGTTTGAGGTTTTTCAATCTGCGGGCCGAAATTACTAAAGAACCACTTGAGCTTTTTGTCTGAAATTTTCACCATTTCTTCCTTTTAATAAGTGCTGCGTTTTAAACGCAGCAGAATTATAATATATTAAGGAAAAAGCCAGTATAGCTGGTTTATCTTATCAAAAAATGACCCTTTTTCTGGTTTACCCTATCAAAAAATCTGGTTTTTTGGTTTTCTGGTTTTTACCTTATCAAAAATTACCCATTTTCTGATTTACCTTATCAAAAAATCTGATTTTTAGGTTTTCTGGTTTACCTTATCAAAAAATTACCCTTTTATCAAAAAATTAACCTTTTATCAAAAAATTACCCTTTTTCTGGCATCATTTTAGGCAAAAAAAATATTTTTTGTTAAATTCATGTTTTTATTATATTGTTTGTTACTTAATGTCAAAATTTTTTTCCTATTGTGTATATTTATAAATGAGGGGGGGGGGGTGATATCCCTTAAATTAATATTTTGAAGATAAACCACGGTCGTTCAGACTTACTAAACAAGCGGAGAGTTATTATACGCAAGCGCAGTAAAGTTCGCATATTTCAAGAGTTTTAAAAATGGCTACGGATAACAAATATAAAAAAAATTCTCATCGACAACGAGCTACTTTTCTAATTTTTAGCTATTAAATATGCATTTAGCCATTTTTTAAGAGGAAATTATAATAAAAGTAACTTCTAGTACACGATAAAATGTTTCAAATTAAATATAAAACCTCTAAAAATGAATAAAATGTAATTAGAGCAATAGCTACTTTAGTGTGTTTTATTTATTGTTTTTAAATCGTTTTTAAAAAATTTTGAGCGTAGAAATTTTTAAATTTTAACTTTTTCAGATAGATGAACTGTTGATCTTTCTTAGAATGTTTACTGATACTAGTTTTAATTTTTTTTCAAGATTAAAAGAAATTTTTTTAATATATATATATATTTCAACACGTATGTATGTTAGGCCCATAGAAATTGGCCTAATATACAATTTTTAATATATTTACTTTTTGTTTTTATTATATTCAATTCATATTTTAATACATTCGATTCGTGAACTGAGTCTGGAATTTTAAAAGTTTTTTCCTTTTCTAACTATTTATAACTATAATAATTAATAAAATACCTTATAATATATATATTTTTTTTTTCTATATATTTTTACAACTACATAGCTTTAACAATACATACTTTTATTACAAATAGTTTTAACAATATATACTTGTTTTACAAATACAGTCAAAATGCTTTG